TGGAACAACTGTGACAACGTCAGCTAAGAAGACGGTGATGACAGTGATAACGATGACGGCAGTGATGACGACGGCTATGACGACGATAACGATGGCGTGTGTGAGAGGGAGAGGGGCAGGGGGTACTCACCGGTTCTCCTATAGTGCCAAGCTGACCTCCCAGCCCCTAGTGTGTAAGCATGTGCGACAGACACAGCAAGTAAAGGATTAGTACACCGTACAAACCCTTGATACAAGTCTATACATAAGTGTAGGATTTTGTGTGATGAATGATCGGACGGGTTTGATTCCAGTTTATTCACATTGGAACCGGAAAGTACTAAATTTTTCAAAATTTTACAAAAAGAAAATTGTGATGCAGGAATAGTGGGTACCCCCGGACGCGCGAGAGCCGCAATTGCCTATTTTAATTAACGGGAGAACTGGGAATGGAACCCCTCCTCCACCGTTGTGTATAGACAGGCACAGCATGCAAGGCGGTAGTGTTAGATGGCAGAGATGGCGAATAGGTGGGTACCAGACTGACTCGCCGAGTCAACAGACACGACGGTAAATTAAAGCTAATATTGTCACATAGATGGCGCCACTTACAGCTTCGCCCTTCGGACCGTCGAGGCCTATGGGACCCTGCAACGTAAGAGTAACAAGAGGATCAGCGTGTGGCGACGACAGGGACGTCACTGCCACACCGAGAATGACGTCACCGAAAGTGACAAGAGAACATATCGCCAATCCACCATTAGCCACCGTAAAGAAACCGGTCCAATATATGTCAGGTCTCGGTCCATTCGCGTAAATATAACATTTTATTAAATTAAAATAAATAATTTGGATAGTAAAAGTCTGCTGCTAACAATGGTATTTACTCGTCTTATTAATTCATTGCATTAATTCGAATATAGTCGAATATTGTTGCATTTAGTCTGCATTTCGACATAGTAAGTGTAAGAACAACGAAAGACCATTATATTTTATTTTAATTCTACTCGCAATATGACGAAAAATCAAAACACTTAAAAAAATGTCTAAAAACAACAACTTAAGTTAATTCTAGTTTAAATTAAACAAAGCGTGCAAGTGCAAAGTGCAGAGACAGACATACAGGCAGAAAGATACAACTTCCTGTACATGCACATGGTCAAAAGGTCAATGACAGGTTATGACGTCACGCAGGGGGTTCGTTAACATGAGACCCGCAAGGAGATTTGGGAACTGGGGACAAGTAATTCACCTCTCACGCACGCACACGAGAATACAGGCAGACGCACGCACGCGCACACACACACAGGCACACAAAAACACACACACACACACACACACACACGCACACAGGCGCACGCACGCAAGCGGGCAGCGGTGTTAGTACAAACCTGATGACATGTGTCTTTCGTCACAGCACGCATGTAGGCATCAGCAACCACCAACAACCCTACCAAACACACACACACACACACACACACACACACACATTTAGGTCAGTGTTAGGTCAATGTTTAGTCAATGTTAGGAAAACTTAGGTCAATATTAGGTCAATGTTAGGTCAGCATTAGGTCAATGTTAGGTCAATGTTAGGTGGGGTTTTCACACGGCTGCAACGTTGAACCACGCTAGCTGTCCTGGCAGCATCCCTATCCTAACGAAACAAAACATGGCAGACATGACAAGACAAGAGAGCAGCGAAGCAAGCAGCGCTACGTAGCCGGTGCTGAAGGGGACATGCTCGCGACTAGGGGGCGCGTCGAGACGCTAGCTAAGCGCCACGAAAGAGCATTCTGCGTGCATGCGTGCAGTGGACGCCATGATGTTTCTTTCCCCCTTCCCCTCCCTCCCCCGAACACTGTGAATACTTCGTCTGTGTTCTTGAGTGTTCCTCTACGCGTGAACGCACAACGACGTCAGCGCCACCTAGCGGAGAACCGGGCCTGTCAGTGTTGCCCCCTACCACACGCAAGCTCGTTCTTGCACCGTTGCCAAAAACTGTTAACGGGTAGACTACGGGTATGTGGCAGTAGTAACAACGGGGTAATGACCGTATGTAGACCTTAGAGGTAAGGTAATTAAGGTATTACCATGATAACGAGCAGGTAACCATTAGGTCAGCTTGTTTCAGCTAGTGGGTATGGATCTGTAATGTGTAGCTGACCCGATAACTCAAACCCCGCTAGATATTGTCTGTACATGCGAGCCCCCCTCCGAGCCTCGGATAACCGGGCGCACCGCTCGAACGATACGTGTCTTTGCAAAACAATCACCTTGCGCACGTTGTCACGTGTTCACTGCTTAATCGGGACCACCGCTTAATGGGGACATCTTTATGGTTGCTGACGCGTCGCAGTAAAGCGGGGAAAGCTATAGAACTGGTTGATTCCAACCAGTAGGTTGGGATGGGCTTAGTAACTGCAATTGCTGCTAAGCAACTTGGGGGCAAAATTCCCCTTCGAGAGAATAGATACGCATATAAGGATTATGCATTATTAAATATTTAATAATTTTAGAATATAAGGACGCACTGATAATAGGGAAGTACCGTAGCCTGCAATATCTAACTGCTACAGTACAGCCACACACGGCGCCATCTTGCGGGCTCGATGACTCATTCTTCAGCACCTCTACATACGGTGACGTCATCACTTACTGCTATCACCTGCCCTGCTGTTATTTACACGATCAGACGGGCAGCGGTTGCGTTGCAACGCACACGCACACGCGGGAAGCGATCCACTGTTAGCTGTTAGTCACAAACTCGGCCGTTCGATGGCGCCACCGTCACAGATGGCGGCGAGTAGTGTGGGATCTGGTTAGAGACAGTTAAACAGCACCATCCACGAACCACCCATCAGTCCATCGCGTTTAGTTCCTACACCCGGCTTCTGGATTTAACAGGAAAGCTTTACAGCCTACTATCCCCACCGGCGACCATCACCTATCTACTATCACCATATACTATTACCATGACACCCCTACCAACCCCCTTCTACAACCAATCACCATACATTTACTAGGACAGCTTTAGCACCCACCGATTACCACCAACCACCGACTACTAGCACCGCTAGCTACCTCCACCAACCAACCATATATATACTAAAACACCCCCACTAACCACCAACTGTCACTAACCACCATACATGTACTAGGACACACCCACCTACAGCTACCACGATCCACCTACTTCCAGCACCCATCCACTACCACCAATCACCAACTACCATCACCCACCTGCTACCACCACCCACCTACCACAAACCACCCACCTACTACCAGCATCAACCCACTATCACCAACCACCCACCCACCAGCTAATACCATCACCCACCCTCTACCACCAACCACCCACCAGTTAATACCAGCACCCACCCACTACCAATAACCACCCACCAGCTAATACCAGCACCCACCCACTACCACCTACTACCTACCAGCTAATACCAGCACCCACCCACTACCACCTACTACCTACCAGTTAAATATCCAGCACCCACATCTACTCTACCTACACCTACACACCCCACGCGACCAGGCTAATACCAGCACCCACCTACTACACCGTTGCAGACCACTCCACTCAGCTAATAGCTTGCACCTACCCACAACTGTACCAACCTACGAACAAAAGTAACCTAAACACAGCTTAATCTGGGCACCGATTACCACCTACCACCTACGACCCTACCAGTTACTACCAGCACCCACCTACTACGCAGCCCCAAGCAACACCAACCCAGCTAAGTACACACCACACCGGACTACTACCACACTACCACCCCAAGTCAGTAATACTGGCATCCCCCCACTACCACCTACTACCTACCAGCCTAATACTGCGAGCACCCACTACTACCGACCGATGCTTGTTTTCTAGTGCGAGCCCCAGGCGCACTGTCAGCTAATACCAAGCAACCAACACCTACTACCAACCAGTACACCCACGCAGCTACACTAACCAGCACTGTATCACTCACTACCAACCAACGACACCCGACAACAACGACAGACTAATACCAGCACCACACACCTACTACACTATCCAATCACCAGCTAATACTGCACCATACCCGCATACCGACCGTAGCTACTACCAGCTAATGACCAGCACCAAGCCCACCGTCACTACCGTACAAACCACCCACTCGAGCTAAAATTACCACACTAGCACTCACTACCCACCACCCACCCCACGAACAGCTAAAATACCAGAACCACACGGTCCACTACAACTCTATCTACCACCCACCAGCTAATACCACCACCCCACCTACTCACCACTATACCATCCACGGAATAATCCAGCTAATACCAGCATTCAACTCACGGTAACCACTGTACCATGCCACCAGCTTCATACTGGACACCTACTGACCGCACCACCTACCAGCTTCATACCAGCCACCCACCGCGTGAGCTACCCTGACCTACTACCGTACCAGCTAATACCGAGCACCACACCCACTGTACCACGAACCTATGCTACCTACCGGAGCTAATACCAGCCACCCCCCACCCACTAACCACCAACTACCTAACCAGACTAATACCAGCACCCACGCTAGCTAACCACCTACCACCCAAACCACATATATACCGAGCACCGCACCCACTACCGACTACCACCCACGCCACCTACTAACCGAACCCAACTACCCACCCGAGACTAATACTACCGACCCGCGAGCGAGACCAGAGTGTCACCTACTAAGCTATACACCCTACCACCACCAGCCTAAATACCTCAGCCACCCCACGCCACCTACCTTTGACCAAAACAGCCCACCACCAGCTACATACCACACCGTCACTTCTACTACCACCCTACCCACCTCCAACACACCTAATAACCAGCACCCACCCCACTTACCAACCTACCGACACCCGACCCATGCTAATTATACGCACAACCACGCCCACTACCACCACTCCTCACCCACTCAGCTCAATACTCGAGCCACCCTACCTACTCTACCACCACCCACCTCACAGCCTACTAACCACCACCTACCCACGCTAAGCTAATATCGCAGCCATTCACTCACTACCACCCTACCATCCCACCAGCTAATACTGGCACCGCTACCCGCTAAGCTACCTACCAGCTTATACCAGCACCCACCTATCTACCGAACCTATCTCACCTACCGAGCTAAATACCAGCACCCGACCTACCGACCCAGTAACTACCTTACCAGCTAGTACCACCCCCAACCCACTACCACCGATACTACGATACCAGCTAATACCAGCCACCCACACTACTACCACCTACCGACCTCACAGCAGCTAATACCAACAGCCAAGCAACCCCACTACCGACCACCCACACCACCATTAATATCCAGCACCCACCCACTACCCGACCGAAACACACCACGGTGACTAAGCAAACAAGCTAATACCCAGCACTTCACTCAAACGTAACCACATTATACCATCCCCGAGCAGCTGAATACTGGGTACCCTACGCCGCTATCACCACCTACCTACCGTACCAGCTATATATACCAGCACCCACCGACTTACCTAACCCACCCTACCACCACACGCACTAATACAGACACCCACCCACTTACCACCACCCACACTCAGCTAATACTTCATCACCACCCCACTTACCACCACCCACCCACCAGTAT